TCTGTGATTTAGCGTTTTCAGCGTAAATATAGTAATTTTAACGTAAATACAGTCTTGTTTTAGTAACCACGCAATCATCCCTTGATATTTTGAAACTGGCACATGAAGACAAGTTTTAGAAATCGATAAGATTTTTTACAACGAGATAGTAAATGCTTTCAACGGAACAAAATAGAGCAAGATATGATCAGATCAAACTTTACACGAGTTCATTGTGAAATCAGAAATATTTGTTAATTTATGGTTTATCTGTAACTTTTAATTAATGCATTGTAAATGAAATTTGAAAATTAGCCTTAGAACTTCAAATTATCTTTCCAACGAGATATAATACGCTCTAAACGGAAGAACACACATCAAGATATGATCGTAACAAATACTTAGCCTTAAGTCTGTGATTTAGCGTTTTCAGCGTAAGTATAGCACTTTTAGCGTAAATATAGTCTTTTTTTAGTAATTACGCAATCATCCCTTGATATTTTGAAACCGACACCTGAAGACAAGTTTTAGAAATCGATAAGATCTTTCCAACGAGATATTAAACGCTTTCTACGGATAAAAATAGAGCAAGATATGACCGGATCAAACTTTACACGAGTTCATTGTGAAATCAGAAATATTTGTTAATGTATGGTTAATATGTACTCCCTCCGTCCCTATATAAAAGTATCCATTCTTTTTCCACACATTTTAAGAAAGTGGGTTTGGTTGGTACTGTTTGGACACTGTTTGACACTGTTTTGCACTGTTTTGTTTGCCAAAAAAGGAAAGGGAACTTTTATTTAGGGACGGCCCGAAAAGGAAACATATGCTTTTATTTAGGGACGGAGGGAGTAACTTTTAATTAATGATCATCACAAATACTTAGCCTTATCTCTGTGATTTAGCATTTTCAGCATAAATATAGCACTTTTAGCGTGAATACAGTCTTGTTTTAGTAATTACGCAATCATTCCTTGACATTTTGAGACCGGCACCTGAAGACAAGTTTTGGAACTCGATAAGATCTTTCCAATGATATATTAAACGCTTTGAAGGGGGTTCCACTCCGCTACTCTATCACAGAGTTTGTTCCCATCATCGGGCTTAACTGCAACTCATTTGAGAAAAATCTGAAAATGATTTTGATCATGATTCCAAGTCCATATTCATTAAGAATCATTTTGAGCATTTTAAGAAAGATTTGAGGGGCAGTGAAGGATTTGTTAGCTATGAAACAGTCATAAAAATATTTGAGCAATTATGCAAAACTTTGAAGCACCTTGACAACGACGAAGATTTGAAAAAGGAAACTGAAGTAGAAGTGATCAAAGTATCAAATAGCAATGCTCATATTTGTAGTTATGGTCCTTCTAGCAAAAAGCTCTCATTCCTGTATGGATAATTGGAAAATTAAGGACGAGAAATGGAATAACATCAAGAATAATGAGATCAGTGGCACTAAGAGTGTTGGGTTGATGGCCCAACAACCCATAAGGGCTTCCTACGAACGTCCCCAGAAGGCCCACGAGGACCTCCTACGAACGTCCCCAGAAGACCCACAAGAACCTCCTACGAACATCCTGTTGGAGGCGCGAGATGATGGGATACCTGCCCGCTGGTTCGGAAAGAGGTTCGTCCCGAAGAGGGTCAAGCTTCAGCACCAAGGGTCAGGGGACGTACGTACCCTATTGTCAGCAGGTATCTTGGCCAAAGAATAGCTCAAGATACTCATCTTGCGAGACTCCGGGTACAGCAGGAAACATGAGGCAATCGTATGGGGACGAACGTCCCCATCCCTTAGGTGCATGCCAAGACTCCAACAGAAGACGGGAGCCAAGTGCCTGGGGACGAACGTCCCCACCCCTTGGCAGGATGCCGAAACTACGGCAGGAGACAGGAAGCAAGCGCATGGGGACGAACGTTGTAACACCCCGGCCTCGCAGGACCCGAGGTAGCTACTCTAGACCAATAGTACTGTCCTCACAAACCACCACGAGCCTTTACCGCGCACTTTGTTCTCACTCATGCGCGCCCTGAAAAACTTCCCAGGGGGTCACCCATCCCAAGACTACTCCCGTGCAAGCACGCTTAACTTTGGAGTTCTTGGTGATGAGCTCCCTTAAAAGGAGATGCATCTTGTTGGTATGAGTAGTACTATTAATCCGTTTAAATTAAATCTCAAGTGTTACAATCACCCCCACTTAGGAACGCAACGTCCTCGTTGCGCCCATAAACCAATCTCAAATCTCAATCAAACCCCAGAATCCTCCCCCGCTAAGCGCGCGCCCGATATCCAACGAGTCAGCACACTGTCGGAGGGTTGCTCTGATACCATTTGTAACACCCCGGCCTCGCAGGACCCGAGGTAGCTACTCTAGACCAATAGTACTGTCCTCACAAACCACCACGAGCCTTTACCGTGCACTTTGTCCTCACTCATGCGCGCCCTGAAAAACTTCCCAGGGGGTCACCCATCCCAAGACTACTCCCGTGCAAGCACGCTTAACTTTGGAGTTCTTGGTGATGAGCTCCTTTAAAAGGAGATGCATCTTGTTGGTATGAGTAGTACTATTAATCCGTTTAAATTAAATCTCAAGTGTTACAAACGTCCTCATCCCTTGGCGAGAAACCAAGATCTTGGTGGGAAGCGCATTTAATGCAGAAGATTTGGTGGTTGGGATCGTGCCAGCCACGTCAACGCATCCAAGTACCTCTTGGCAGTATAAATAGAGACATTTATTTCACTGTAAAATGTTCACATTTTAGCACTCTAGCATTATAGCAATTGTATCAGCCCATAGCCTAGCATTGTACGAATGGCCTCTCGGCTCTGTAATCGTTTCAGTGAATAAACACTCTTTATTAGGCCTCTTCCTTGCTTGTTCCTTCATCGAACTTGTTCACTCTTCCACTCGAAATCCTTAGGACACGTGTTGGGCCTAACGGGTTGAAGGAATAAACCTCAACAAAGAGTGATAGTAATTGGACTAACATCAAGAGTAATGAGAATAATTGCACCAAGAGTAAGAGTAATTAGATTAACATCGAGAGTAATTAGATTAACATCGAGAGTAATTAGATTAACATCGAGAGTGAAAGTAACTTGAATAACATCAAAAGTAATTAGACTAATTGCACCAAGAATGAGAGTAATTAGACTAACATCAAGAGTAATGAGACTAATTGCACTAAGAGTGAGAGTAAATACACCAAGATTGAGAGTAATTTGATAAACATGGAGACTAATTGGACCGGTCTGGGATGTTTCCGGTCTCGGACCACATCAGACCAGACCAGATTATTTATAATTTTGAATGTTTTCAGATAAGTTCATACCTGATTAGACTAGAGCACACCAAACTAGATCATACCGAATCAGAGAAGACTAGAGCAGACTAGACCAGACCAGATCTGACGAAACCAAACTTAACCACACCATAGGATGTTTTTACTAGGACCGGTTTCATCCCAAACATTTATTAGATCACACCAGTTCATCAAACCATACCTGAACAATCGGACCAGACCAGCAAATCTCAGTCCAAGTGAAAACATCCTTAAAAGATCCAAATTTCTAAACCACAAAATCAGATTAACATAAAGACATACAGAGTATTTATTAATTAGTTAACTAATTACGGAGTACTATTTGGTAACTAGCTCCTCTTTCTTTTCAAACTTTTGGTAACTCCCTCCCTCTTTCTTTTCAAAATTTTGGAAATGCGCTTCTACTTTTTTAAAACTTTCGGTCAACGGGCTACATTGGTCGACCTGAATCTGGTCGATTGATTTGGTCGTTCAAATTTTTTGGCGCTTTTCTAAAAACCGAGATAATTGGGATTGGCGCTTGATAAATAAAAATTTCGAGTAATTTTTCTAATTAATGTTAATTAATTAATTAATTACGAAAATAATGCTGTAAAAAAAAATATTTACCGATCTACTGCTGCTTTTAACCATGGTCAGGGAAAGTCGTCCAACGGTTGGGCGACTTATAAGTCACCAAACGGTTTGGCGACTTATAAGTCGCCCAACCGTTGGGCGACTTTCCCTTTAGATTTTTATAATATAATAATATAATAATCTAATAAGAATATTTAAATAATAGGAGTTTTTTTCGAATTGGTTTTTGAATATTTAAATAACAGGAGTTATTTAAATAATAGGAGTTTTTTTCCGACTTAAATAATATAATAATCTAATAATAATAATTAAATAATCTATTATAACTAGTTAGTTGAGGTTTTTGCTTTTATTTTGGAAATTCCGTCTTATTTAAGCTCGAGAGAACAATAATTGTGACCAACAACTACTGCCATCTAATATTCATACTTGAACACATCAAGACAACACACAAGAGTTTAGAAGAGAACATACGTAAAATGTTGTAAATTGTTCCTACAACATCTACTGTACAATAAAAACTGCAATACAAAAGGCAAACTATAAGTTGTCATGATCATCTTGATCATCTTGGTCATGGAGATGTTGTTGCTAATGCCTACGCCTACGTCGTGGTCGTGGTTGAAGAACCACTCTATCATGCTGCGTATGGGATGATGAAGCCGCCGCTGCACTAGACGTCGATGCCATCTCCTGAGATGTGGGCATGTGTATAAGATGGCCGTAGTCGACTCGTCCCAACACATCTGAACATAAGGAGGCAATGCCTGTCAGAGTCTGTCCATACTCCATACATGTCCACATCATGAGTATCACTCACTGTGGCGGTAGCCCGCTGATGTATACGCTGCAAAGCTCGTGTCTGAAATATAAAACACAATTACAATTACATTGAAATACATACAAGTATTCAATAAATAAAATGACTTACTTTACTAATTAGTAATATACTCACCGTAAGATGCAAAGTCAAGGAGCTAGGCTGATAAATTACTTTACATACTAATTCTTTTTTTTAATCATCCATTTTATTAATTTAAAAAAAAGAATTTTCAATATACACATTCAAATTTTCAATAGAAAAAACTACAAACAAATATATCCAAAAGTCAAAATTCACAAACAACTCACATTTCAATATCAAAATACCAAAATTTAAGTCTACATTTCAATACAGGTGTTATGCTTCAAAAAGACCATAAGCTTGAAAACCAAATTCATAATATTCATTACAACAATACAACCAACCCGAACAAACACTTCATTACAACATTACAACATCTGCTAATATATCCTACTTCCCAACAAGACGATAACAAACAACCCGAACCACACTACATTCTAGGAGAAAGTCCCATTGCCTTTCTTTGACATCTTGAGTTCCTCTTCCATATTTTGGAGTTTCAAAAGACCAATTCCACGAACACAACACTTGATTTCAGCTTGCATCTCTAATTCTTTCATTCGGAAACTCTCTTCAACACTGGTAATCTTCTGAAGCAAGGTCTCTATTCGTCTCAGGCAAGTGCCACATTGTTCATCCTCAACCCATTCAAAGAAATTACACTTTTGACCACTCAAGAAACGACCACACCCATAAAATCTTTTCCCCCTATTTTTGTCTGTTGTAGCAGTCCACACTGGTGCTTGGAGTCCACAGTCACACCTCTTAATTCGCCTTGTTGCATCCATTGACCAGGACTCAACACTCGAAGAACTCATCGCACCTTAATTTTTTTAGCATTAATAAAGTTCAAATTATCATTTCCACTCTTAATTCGTTAATACGCGTGGATTTAAATGAAGATTTCTTTGTTATCTCACCTTAGATTTTTTAGCATTAATAAAGTCAAAAATTTAACAAACTTCAATTCATACCTCCATATCTACATTACATAACAAAATTCAAAAAAAATTATATAACAATGAATTCAACATCAACATACAACACTTCATACATATTCACATTACACAACAAATCAATTCACAAATGAATTCCTAATTCACAAATTCCAATTTTCTATATTCTAAACCCTAAAATGAAAAATGAGATAAATTGGAGATATTTGTTTACCTAGAGTGTTGAAGAAGATGAAAGGAAAGCAGTATTGACAAGATATGGAGGCCTTGTCGTCGCTCGCCGGAGATTAACCTTCACCGAAGTCGGGGGGAGGTGGGTCGCCGCACTTCGCCAGAGTCGGGGGAGCTGCAGAGGGTTTGGGAGTTTTGGGGATTTGGGGGAAATGTTGCGTTCTGCCCGAACCCGATTTATGTTTAAGAGGTAAGTCGCCCAACGGTTGGGCGACTTATAAGTCGCCAAACGGTTTGGCGACTTATAAGTCGTCCAACCGTTGGGTGACTTACCCCTATCACGATTAAACCCAACAGTAGATCCGTAAATACTTTTAACCCAACATTATTTTCGTAATTAATTAAGTAATTAATTAGCATTAATTGGAAAAAAAATCAAAAAAATCTTGGCGCTTTTTTTATTTACGATTTTAATTTTCCTCATTTCTTTGCTTCCATTTTCTCTCTATAGGATTTTCAATTTTCATCGAATGTTCCTCTCTTCTTCTCCTACACACTACAATGAATCTATGGGACTATGACTTGCGTAGAAGGTGACAGTACCGATATAGGCAATAGGATTACTTACTTCTTGCATACTCTGCATGGAAAGAGTATGGGTTGCAAATGCAACCATATCAGATTCTGGGCGATGGGTCTATAAAATCTTAGAAGAGTGGTACACTTTTCTGTCAACAACATTACAACAAACTTCACCTCTGTTATTCCCAGAAAAATATCAGACAACACCTAGGACAATATGTTGACACGCGAGGTGCATGTAAGTTTTTTCACTTATTTGTAGACCATTTTCATAAGCTTATAATCTTTAAATAAATTAATATTTATATTTGTGTTTCCAAATCTGTTCTTGTTCAAAACTCTCTTTTTCTATTCATCTACCTGATGTTACCCAGTCTACAATCGCTTGGTTTGTAATCTAAAACAATGATCTATTAATGACGGTGTGCAGTCAATTAATACAATTAGTGTTTATCTTTTATATGTTCTACCTTTATTTAAGCAAGCCTACTATTTTATTATTCCTAGGAAATCCCTCCTTGTATGACAAGACATCGTTTTTAGCACGTTGAAGTCAGTGTTCATGCTTATGGTAATCAACCTTGGTCTGTCGAAGTTGATAAGCTATGTTTTTGTCATGGTTTTGACCAATTTATGGATGAAGTTGTTATTCCAGTGCATGGCTATGTTTTATTTCACCATGTAGGGAATTTTAAATTTGAGACATTTGTTTTTTGACAATCGGGGTAATAAGGTATTGGTCCCACTCTCATTTCCTCTTTGGTTGAATTAGGTATAAAGCATTCATCAATTGTGGTCAAGTGAATTATAATTTTGTTGGTTGTTGTAAATAAACATCAAATATATCTAGTTTTATTTCTTATTTGTCACAGATGATTTGGTCATCTTTGTCCAACCTTCGATTCCTAAATTGGCATATGAAGAACTTTTCTACTGTCCTTCTTTCGCCCACATTCCACATAAAAAACATCAAAGGTTTGCATTATACAACTTTTGATATCATCTTTTAATATCATTAAGTATAGTCTGAAACCAAATCTCTGAAATAGCATCTCTGCAATGACTCTTGTTGTAATCCAGGAAGTGGCTTAATTATTCTGTATGGAACACAAAAATGCTTTGTGGGTGAAGAAGGAATTTTAGAACAAGTAAAATATAGATTCTTCATACCTGATAGTGAGAGGATTGTGTTTTTCAACCATCTGTTTGACCGTGTTTTGATGATGGTGATGGATGATTGTGACGGGGGAGTTTCCACCCCCACACAGTCATCAATATATGATGGAATTGAAGGCAGTTGGCAGGATGGTGATAGGACTCCGGCAGAATAGCATTGATAATAATAAGAGCAATAATAATATTAGAATGGTTAGTATAAATAGAGGTTGAGGGTAGAATAGAAGGGGAGTTGGAATTATCGTTTGGGCTTGAGACTTGGAGAGTGGGCACTCTTAAACTGCCTTTGTATTTCTCTCTACATTTTCTGTTATACGACACTTTCGGTTCATACACATCTCTTGTCTTCATATTGATTCTTGAATTTACTGTGAAATTAGTTGGTTACCTAACATTGGTATGATAGGAATCAGGCCCATTAGACTAAGAATAGAAATAATAACAACAATAAATGTAAAGACAGTATAAATAGCTTGGAAAGGGGAGTTAGTGGTAGGCTGTTTTAGACTTGTGTCTTCGGACTTGGGAAGACTGAGATTCTATCTCTTTCTTTTGGGGACTTCGGTCAATTGGGGGCTTCGGCCATAGTTTCTTGTTCTTAATCAATAAAGACTGCAGAGTTGTTCTTGATCTCTTTATGTGATTTTATTGAATTTCTGGATATCTCTAACATTGGTATCAGAGAACGGTGATTCTGTGGATGGAAGTGACGCCTTTGAAGATGGATTTATGGATGAACGAACTGGAGGAGAACCAAAAGAGATTGAAGGAAACATTCGAGAGGAATCAACAACGAAATCAACAACAGATGAAGGAGATGCTTAAGACGATGCAGGCAACGATCGCGAAATTGACGGAGCAACATCAAAGTCGTTCACGAAGTGGATCGCATGCCTCCTCTGCTTCGCATCGCTCCTCGCACAGTACCTCACACCATAGTCATCGTTCGTCGCTATCGCGCACAGGTTTGCAGTCAGAGTCGCGAACTACTTCCCATGGCTCGCAATCGCGAACTTCAGGTTACTGTTCACAGTCGCGAAACAGATCGCATATGTCGCACACTTTGCACCATTCAAATCCTTCTTCATATAGCTCTTCGCAAAGTTCTTCGCAGGCAGATTCACGAAAGGTTTCTTCGCAGAGTTATTTCCCTCCCACTCAGAGTTCGCCTCCTTCGTCTAAAGTCTCTTCTCGGAATTCAGCTAGGTCAAAGACGGAGGAATTACCTCTATTCCACGAGGTTGAAGCGTACGCATGGATAGAGAGGATGGAAAGATATTTCCGAGTCCAAGCTATTGCAGAAAGATTTAAAGTGGACCTTGCAGCAAAGGCAATGGGGGAAGCTGCAGATGGCTGGTTTCAATGGTGGGATTTTCAAAAGAGAGAAGATAGTTGGGAGGCTTTAAAGGAAGATTTGATCAGGGATTTTCCACCTAGATACCGGCAGAAGACATGGAAGACAGCAAAACCAGAGTCATCGAGGTCTTTGCACATCTCTTCGCATAGCTCTTCTCATAGCTCTTCGCATCAACATTCAAAAAAATTGTTGCAAGTAGGAGCTCTCACCTCACAATCGCCAGTCCTGTCAAAAGTTAATTCTCAATCTGCACAAGATTTTTCCCAGTCAATAAAGAAGATTATGGAGACAAATGAATCTGTAATCAAGAAAGTGAATAAGAGAGAGGAAATCAAGGAGAAAAGACCAGTTAGTCCATGGCCAGATTATGTTTCTTTTAATCTTGCAGAGGATGTGGATTTAAATTCCAGCCAAGTTTCGGTTACTGACAAGCTTATCCAACCATGTTCCTTTGGAACTAGAGTTCTAATGATTTCAGAAACTAGTACAGAGGCTCAGGAGGAGGAGGTTGAGACCTTTTCAGGAGAATCTGCTATTATATGGGGAAACCACTCACAGATTCAGGTTGATGACAAGCCAGGGGTTGAGAGCATGTCAGGCTACTCCCAGCTTGTCTTACATGATTCATTTAAAGCACCTGGAAATTATCTCATGTTGGAAGACATCTCTACAAAGACAGCTCTATTCTTTCCTAATGTTTTTGAATTCATCACAAGGTTAATACAGAGAATGACCCTTAAGAACTACCAGCTAGCTCTAGGCGAAGTTGTGGATACATCAAAATTATCAAAGAATCTCTATGGTGATCCGTTCCATTCTATGGCAAGATTTTCTGGAATGCCAGGAATTGTTATTTCTTCTGAATTTGCATTGGAGCTTCCTGATTTTCAGCTGATGGGTACATTATACAAAGAAACAAAGCCTAATCTTAAAGTTGACAGCAAGGTGTGCAGTATAATGGAACAAATGTTACTTTGGGGTCATGATGGGGAAATACAATTGGAGATTGTTGAAGTCTTAAATTCAGAAAGAGAAATACAGCATGACTCAAGTTCTCTTAAACTTTCTTCTGACCTGAGTGAGGATGAAGTTTGGTATGAGCTATTCAGTGTGAAGTCTCACTCAAGAGATAGGATGAAATCAGAGGCAAATACTGTGCTAAGGCTGATCAAGAATTTTCCATCTAGAAGACTAGAAGTATGGGAACTGCTGCTACCGCCATCAGCGAGGTACTGGGAAGGGAGAGGAACCCGGAGGAAGCTGAATTCCAAGCTTGGTTTCTATCTCCCCACCTTGAGGACAAGGTGGATGTTTAGGGGGGGAGTATTGATAGGAATCAGGCCCATTAGACTAAGAATAGAAATAATAACAACAATAAATGTAAAGACAGTATAAATAGCTTGGAAAGGGGAGTTAGTGGTAGGCTGTTTTAGACTTGTGTCTTCGGACTTGGGAAGACTGAGATTCTATCTCTTTCTTTTGGGGACTTCGGTCAATTGGGGGCTTCGGCCATAGTTTCTTGTTCTTAATCAATAAAGACTGCAGAGTTGTTCTTGATCTCTTTATGTGATTTTATTGAAT